AAAAATTTTAAAAAATCATCCTGATTAAGATGTAAATTAAGTAAGATAAACTGCACCCATTTAAAAAACATTTAATGATTTGACAACTGCAAAGCATTCTCATTGAGGCAAGATAGTAAAAAGACAGGAGAATTCCTTGGCGAGAGGAAGGGGGAGATGAGACGGCCAGCTGACTCAGACTGGCCTCGCCCACCCCTCTGGCTCACCGGCCTCCTCCCTCCCAGCACCACTCCCTTAAGCATTAGGCCCTCAGGACGATGAGCTTCTGCTCTGCATCAAATAATCTTAGGAACAAAGTCACAAGGCTGTTGACCACAGAGAGGAGAGTTTTGGCCAAACTAGAGATAACATCTAGCCCTCAGTGGTGTTTCAGATCCAGGCTCAGAAAAGTATCAAAACTAGACGAGTCAGTGCCCTGGCTGGCTTCAGGATCGGATGCAATGCCCAATGACTCCCTTACCCCAGCACCTACCAACCAGCAGAAACTACAATCTTCTAGTTCCTGATCCTATATGCTTATTTTGATAAGTCTGCACATTAAAGTGGTATGGAGAGACCTGATCAGATCACTGGGGAGGAGCAGGGAGAGACCAAAGGAGGTGATGGTGAACAGCCTAGGACCGGATGGGCTGAGAAGCTGACGCCCTGCTTCCGGAGTGCAAGGAACTGTGAGCTGCCAGAAGATGTAAAATGAAGAGGGCAGACGCTGGCTCTCAGGCTCTTCTTCCTGGAGGATTCTGGGATGACATTTCTGCAGCTGGATGAAGGGACTCCAGGGTGCCCCCTAGGATCAGGCCAGCCTGGCAGAGGGTGGCAGGGTTATTCTGGGTGTTCTGGAAGGGACGACCTCTGAGGTAGAAGTCTGCCATTCTTCCTAAAGTGGGTAACTTTTGTATCTGACATGGTTTCAGTTAGTAAACTCACGCTATAGAAATAAAATAATTAAAAACTAACCAAGGGAAAGATAAAACTCCGGTGTTAAAGAGTTTAGCTTTAAATGATTAAAGCTGAAACTAAAGAGTTAAAGATTTTAGCCGGAATTGGTAAGCTTAAGTGACTAATGCAAGTGGAAAGCTATTATCCCAAAGTTAGGTAGCTTTTGAATAAAGACTTCTTTCCTTTATCACCAAACCTGGGCCTCTGGAATTTTGCCTAGAGGATGGCGGCAGGCACCAGGAACCCACTTGCTATTCTGTAACAAAAGGACTCACCTGGAAAGCTGAGGTTCTCCCTTGGGACGTCCCCTAACATCCCTGCCTTTCAGAAAACAGATAAAAATTCTTAGAAAAAAAGACCCAGCACCTGCTCTCCCTGGGTGAATCCACACCCTTCCCCTTCCTCTTCTCCCTTCAGATGTGTGTCTTGGCTTTCTCCTAAGTGGAAAGGGGAACAGGAGACTCGCCACAGGGGGGACAAGTGGGCAGTTCCAGCTCCTCTCAGGCTAACCCCAGACTCTACCTACTCCAAGGGCCTTCTTTTGCCTCTGCAACTGGTTTCCCGGGTCCATGCAGCCCAGCTGACTCACTTCTTCCTTTGTGACTTTCCTTCTAAAAGGCCAAGGCAGTGCTCTGAACAGCCCCTTGAACCTTCCCTTGGAGTATACTTTCACTTTGCCTGCTAACTAAACTCCTTGGGCCAGAGTCTGGGGCTCTGAATTCTTTCTTTACCAAACTCGAGAACAGAGAGCCAACATCGCCAGCAACACTCATTGTGCCCAAAGTGATCTCATGTCTCTTACAAAATAAAAGGGAATATTTGGTAAACATGAACTACTTATTTAGGTTTGTGTTTATGTATGTATATATTTATTAAACTGCTACTTGTTTTAGTTTTTTGTTTATTTAATTTTTAAACTGCTACTTAGTTTGGATTCACTTTACTTTTTCTTTCTAGTTTTTTACCATTGATTCTAGGCCTTCCTTCTTTTCTAATGTAAACAGTTAAAAGTATGAATTTTTCTCTAAGCTCTTTTTGGCAGTATCCCATAAATTTTGAAACACGACCTTCCATTATCACACGTTTGCAATATTTCCTCATTCTCTCATTAGTACTTCTTTGCTCCCGACTTGTTTAGCAGTGAATTGGGTTTCTGCAGGTATCTGTGACTTCCTAGATTGCTTTCGAAGGGCAACAGAGCTTGCCACCCAAAAATATGCCTTTTTAAGATATTATTTTAAGCTATTTTTGAGAAACAAAAGACTCAGAAAGAATCTTTGACCTTCCCCTCCCCACCAAAAAGATTTAGACAGAGAACAAATGAGGACCTAATTCAGGAAGGTGGGTGTTATCATAGGTAAGTATAGTTCAGTCTGAACTAGTGCTCCATAAACAGAGATGAACCTAGCAAAGCCCTTAATCAAAATATTGCACTGTTTCCAGATGAGCCCAACAAACATTTGTTTACTAAACATCGACTCTTATTTTATCTCCTTTTATTTTTTATAAGAATTTATTTATTTATTTTTAGAGAGATGGGAAAGGAGGGAGAGAAATATTGATGTGTGACAGATAGGTTGACTGACTGGTTGCCTCTCAACCAGGGACCTGGGCCAAAACCCAGGCGCGTGCCCTGACTGGGAATCAAACCAGTGACCTTTTGGTTTGCAGGCCAGTGCTCAACCCTCTGAGCCACACCAGCCAGGGCACAATGAAATGAAAGGATTTTACACAATGATGAACCTTTCTGGGTAAAGTTCTGAAGTGAATAAAATACAGTCCTTTCTTGATGTGTACAATAATTGCATCCTGGACAACTCAGGATTATATTAAATTGTTTATAAAATACATTGTGTTTCTATGTAAATCCAAATTATGTTATAGGCTCAGGAAACAGCGAATAGACTTTTCATCCACACGAATATCTACAGGATATAAGAAAAACATTCTGGATTTAGGACAATTCAATTCTTTTTTGTGAAGTGATGTCCCAAGCAAATGGGAACATCTAGCATTCCTGGTTCCTGCTCACCAAAAGCCAGTAGCATCTCCAGTAACGTGACAAACCATAGCCTGCACCCAAAATTTTCTAAAAGGCACTCTTAAGAGAGGCCTTTTTCTTATGAGACCCACTATCATTTAGTGTCATTACAGAAGAAGCCAGTAGGTGGCAGTATATACCAAAGTATTAAGCATTTTTTCCCTTGCCCTCTCTATTGCATCAAGGACTGTGGAGAACCAAGCTTGAGACAGAGACTTCTTAGGAAGTCAGCAGAGCTGGGACTGGAAGACCCAAGGACCTCACGTTTATTTACAGTGTTGTATTTTTATCACTACAGAAACGTGACTCAAACACCACAGAGAGATTAAAAATGAATGTGAATGATAAATACATGAAAATTTTATTTTTCTCTAACTTGACATTTTCTAAAGACAAGTTCCCTTTAAGAATCTATCAACAGAAATATCTAACCAGGACATTGTTAAACCACCAATTTGTTTCTATGTGTAGAAGAAGAATAAAAATTGTAGTGGCAGGAGAATCAAGACTTTTATTAATGGTTAAAAATTAAGACTCCTGATACCATATAAGATTTCAGTGAAAAGAGCAACAAACTGCTTGGGGAATGCAAGCCAGTATCACAGAGAGGTGGAATTTAAGGTAATCTTAAGATGTGGCAGAAATAATACAGATGTGTATTAAAAGGCATCAACAATGATAGTTAACATGTTATTAAGCTTCATCATTGACAATATTCTTCTGCATGTTTGGCTCACTGTCTTACACAGCCATTCACCATTAACCAGCAGTCTTTAAAGCATGGTCTGCCAACTGGAGATCACTATGCGTTGGCAACCTAAGAACGCCCAAACCAGGGGAGAATTTTTATAAAAATTTATTTGAGCCGAACAGAGTCTACATCTGGAAGCAGGAGCTCAACAGACTGAAATAAATGCTGCAGAGAGTAAATGTGCAGTTTCATACATTTGAGATTAAGGAGGGGACATAAGGAGGAATAGAAGGAGGTGGGAGAAAGCAAGATGGGGGTCAGAGTACAGGGTAGTTAACATTCTGTGCTGTCTCCTGCTATAGAAGGAGCGTCAGGAAAGAGGCATTTCAAAGGTGCATTAACCTTGCACAGGAACAATGAGCAGGGCTTGCCTAAGGCAAAGACAGGCCTTTGCCTGGGTGTTATGACCCACTATAACCCGCCCAGTTAGGAATGAGTGATCAGATTACCATGTGAGGTTATTCCATAGGAAAAAACTATTTTTTTTGGTCCACACTGTGATGAAAGACACTGAGACATATTGGTGCCTCTATTTTAAGAGGCAATCTTTAAGAACACAACTTTAAAGCCAGAATATCCTGGGATTCATTCTTAATATTTCTTGTGCTTATTAGCTGCTTGCCTTAGACAAGTCTCCCCATCTCTCTGAGCCTTCTGCAGATAAAAATGAGGACAATACCTATCTTATGATTTGTTGCACTGACTAAAGAAGGTGGCAACCACCTGAAGCATCTTTAATGTAGCAGATGTCAACAAGTGGTAGCCACGATTATTTTTTGTTTTGTAAACTGAGAATTAACTGTAGGTGGGAAGCCGAATTCCACCACTGTCTGATTCCCAGGCCAGAGTTCGTTGTTGGTAACACCTCCAGATAAGTAAACTGTCTTTGGTGAAGGGGATTGGGGAAGAAAAATTTATTTCTTCGTGCCCTGCAGTGACCTGTATATTCTTCCCGCTCACTATTTAGCTATACTGTTATTTAGTTTTTAGCAATTTGGGATATGGGCAGTATAATTAAAATATCTTCACACTTGTTTAGCAACCTCCCAGCTTGTCCCTAGGGTCCACAGCAGGAGCTTCGTGAGTAAAAGAAAAGGTGCTCACTTAATTCGAGCTCCACGGGCACACGAAACGCAGAACCCGCGCCCGGTCCAGATGTTTATATTTTCGTCCCTCGGCCCCGCCCCCGACCACGCGGGCTTCAGCCACGCCCCCAAGCTGGAGTTCTTGTAGCCGACTGGCCTAGTTCGCCAGTCCACCCACAGGGATTCCCTTTCCAGCCAATCTTGTCTGAGCAACGGGATTGCCCCTAACAAATATGGCGAGAGAGGCCTCTGTAAGGGCAGACTGATTTAACACCCAAACCCGCTGCGGCCAGCGAAGGCAGTGGTAGCCGCGCGGCTGGGAGCATGGAGGGCGGCAGCACTGGCAGCGCTGGCAGCGGTGGCAGCGATAGCAGCCCCAGCGGGACTGGCGGGGCGCAGCAAAGGGAGCTGGAGCGCATGGCTGAGGTCCTGGTCACCGGGGAGCAGCTACGGTAAGGCGTGGGGTAGTGCCGGTGGGCTCGCGGTGATACTGCCAGTCCGTGTCTGCAGCTGTTCTGCGCGCACGCGCGCCGTGGCTCTTGCCCCGCGACGCACGCGGGGCTCCGGGACCGCTGCTGGCGAGTGGACTGTCCGCCTGGCGCCCGTGCCTGGCTGCTGCAGCCCGGCGCCCTGGGGCACTAGAGCGGGGCTCTGGAGGCGGACGCAGGCGAGCGAGTGGTGCGCGGTGCGTCCGCAGACGCGCTGCCGCCCACAGCGCGCGCTCCCTCTTTCCTGGCACCCGGGCATTCGCTACCAGGCCTACCGCTTGACAGCCAGCTCCTAATCCACCCGCAGAGCCAGAGGGGTCGGTGTGGGGGCCCCAGCCGGACCCAGTCGGCTCCAGTCCCCTCCTATTTAGTCTTGGATAAAAGGATCCAGCCCAACGATCGCCCTCATTTAAGGTTTTTCTGTTTGCTGTCAAGTCCTGCTTCACTTCCCTGAGCCTCAGCATTTCATCTGTAAAATGGGGCTGATCACCGCGGCTCTCTTAAAAGGCGGTTATGAGAGCTAAAATGGGAGAACATTTCTGAATTACTTTACCTATCACTAAGAGGCACGTCCTCATCAGTCGTAATTTGGGCCCGCAAGGGGGCGTGGAGGCACCTTGTCCGCCGCGCTGCGGCCGAGTCAACTGCCCTAGCGCGCACATTTTGGGCAACAGAGTCCATCGGCCCCGCTGCTGCCAGAATTAGGTTTTGACAGGTCTCATCCAGGTCGGGCAGTGACCTTCCTTAAAACTAACACCGCTTTCTCTATACATCCCATTCCTGATCCTTCTTGGATTCCTGTTTGAGAATTGTGCTTATGGTCTGACCGGTTCCGCAGCTTCCCTTTTCTGGTCGTAAATCAGTTTGCCAGGGAAAAACCCGACCTCTGCGGTGTTTAAGCCACAACTTGCCTGCTGTCCTCGCGCCCCGCGGTAGCAGCACGCACAGGGTTCCTTCCAGTTCTTGGTCCGAATCTTCAGGCTCATTATGGTTTCTAAATGCTGTGTTTCGGACAGACTTGAAGGAGAGAAAACCCTGCAGAGATCCCTAAGGTTTGGCATTCACCCTGCTTGCATTGAGGAAGTAAATATTGGATGTAAGAATTGAGTGTAATGTTACAAGAATTGCCTATTTCTATTTCTTAATGATTTTTTTTAACTATATAGCCAGGTTTAAGTGAATGAATGCTTGTATTCCTTCATCAAGAATGTTTCTAACTGAAAAAAATAAAACAGTTATGATTTTCTAATTCACTCTGAAACACTTTTAGATAATTTGTTTGCTTCTGATCACTACATTGTCCTTTCAAAGTCCTCAATTGGATACATTTTCTTGCCTTAAATAAATTGCATGGTGCCGCTCTTTGTCCAACAATGCAGTTTAAATGCTTTTTCTTGGTGGCCCCCAGAGCTCCTCTTACTCCCTTGTCCCCTAACACCCTTTGGCGCTACAGTAGGTTTGAGGGCCATGCTTAGCATATTGGTAAGAAGGTAGAGGGCTCTCTCTCTCTCTGGCTGTAGAGTTAAGACAGACCTGGGTTTGAATTGCTGCTTTGCTACTTTGTAGCCAAGAGTCAGCACTTTTTAAAATTTTATCTTTATTGTATGTTTTTTCCAGTATCATTTAGTCCCCTTATACCCCTCCCCCTCCCAGCATTTTGTTCTGTTGAGGACATTAAGCCAGAGTGAGTCTTGGTTTTGCCACTTACTAGTGTAGGACCTTGGACAAGTTTCTTAACTAAGATGATAGGATAATAATGGAGCCTGCCTCATTGCGTTATGATGAGATCAGATGAGTTGGTGCCTAGAACAGCGCCTGGTATATATGCAGTAAGCATCACGTCTGCATTAGCTGTTATAGCTCTCAGACCTTGGACAAGTTAATTTACTTCTCTGGAACTCTTTCCTCCTCTACAGTGGTAATAAGATAAGTACTTCTTGGGCTGATTGTGAGAATTTTTTCCTGGACTTCATGTATTAATTGACATTCAAGAAATGGCTGCTGGAATTTAATAGTATTATTGGTCTCCTGTGTCACCACATGTGACTTCCAGCCAGGCAAGATCTGGCAGAAAGGACTGGGTGGTGGTGGAGAACACAAGGAATAGGCCCAGGCTGCCTGGGTTCTTATTCCGCCTCCACCCTTTCTTCATTCTGTGACCTTGGGACAATTTACCTAACTTCTCTGTGCCTCAGTTTCCACTTCTCTCTTCTTGCAGGAATTTTGTGAGGATTAAATGTGGTGCTATATGTAAAAAGTTTAGTAAGTGTTAGCTATTTAATTTTACTTTGGAAAATTATAGTCATTGCTTTTTTAAAAGATCTCATCTTAGCCTTGTGCCTGGCACATAAATAATTGCTCAATACATGTTTGGATAAATATAGTATGTGTGATTATATACACTGCTGTAAGTACAGATAACACAAAATCAGAATTTAGGGACTCAGGTGGTCTTATGCCCTGGCTCCTTGATTTCTGCAGGGACCTCTCATTCCGGAGTGGGCATGCTACCATCCTTGGTGTCACTGTTCTAACTTGTTTTTACATCCCTGGCTGCTCTCTTACAGTCTGACTATGGGGACTTTGTGATGTTCAGGCCTCCTGCCTCCAATTGCTACACACACACACACACACACACACACACACACACACACACACATATACTTGCTCGCTGTCTTCTCTTGCTTCCCCATTACTTTCTGGGTCACCAAAGATGAGGTAAATGAAGGTGATGAGGAAAGAAGAAACTAAGGATTGGGATTTGAAATTCAAAAAATCAGCATCCAAGCCCAGCTCTGTGCATTTTATTCATTTAACATTTTTAATGTATATATTCATTTATTTTAACTACCTTTTGGGTGGGGGGTGGAATCAGTTAGCCACTCTGGGTCTTACTGCTCTTACCTGCAGAATGGGAATAATAATATCCTCCCAGATAAGGTTTGTGGTGTTGGGTCCAATGGAATATAACATGGAAAGGAACGTTGTGAAATAAATCAATAAACCAAGGTAAGTTGTTATGATTATTATAAGCTCCAGGTGTGAAATTGAGCACCCGTTCACAATCCTGACCCTTGGGATGGAGCAGTTGGCTGCGTAAGGACTTGAAATTGAGTATCAGACAAAGACGTTTCCTCTTCCTTTTCCAGCCTGACCCTTGGGATCCTTTTCCTAATCTCTTCTTGCTTCCCCTGGTCACAAGATATGGTACTTACTTGTCCAGTGTATCTCCATGTTTTTACATCTAAAGAGTGCATTTGGATGCCCCTTCACACTTCCAGGATGGCTATAATAAGAAAAAGATATAACAACAACTGTTGGCAAGGATTTGGGGAAGTTGGAACCCTTACACGCTGCTGGTGGACAGGGAAAATGATGCAGCCACAGGTAAAATGATGAGGAAAACAGCCTGGCATTTCCTCAAAGGTTAAACCGGGACCATGTGACCCAGCAATTTTACTCTAGGTATGTACATTCCAGAGAAATGAAAACACATGTCTGCATAAAAATTTATAAAGACACATTCACAGCAGCATTGTCCATAATACCCCAAAACAGAAACAACACTGTTATCCATCAACTGATCATTGGATAAACCAAGTGTGGTATACCTATACAATAGAAAAAGGGGATAAAGTACTGATATGTGCCATGGAGGACCCTCGAAAATGTTATGCTAAATGAAAGAAGTCAGACCTAAAAGGGCACATACTGTATTCGCATTTATATGGAATACTCGGAAGAGGCGAATCTGTAGAAATAAAAAAGTTGCCAGCAGCAGCAACAGGGGGAATGGAGAGGGATTGCTAACAGGTGATAGAATGTCTTTTTGGAGTGATGAAAATGTTCTAAACTTGCTTGCGGTAATTTCCATCCATAACTCTGTGCTTAAAACCATTGAATTATCACATTAAGTGGATAAAGTGTGTGGTATGTGAATTACCTCAATAGAACCACTATAAAAATTTCATTTGGATGCCACATTAGAGTGAGGAAAGACAAGTTATTTAAATTTTTTAAGGAACCATTTTGCTTTCTTTTTGAGGGGCCAAAGAATGCAATGATATTTATCACTCTCAGTAATGCATTATTACCACACCGGAAGGGACTGATATTTAACATATATATATTTTACAGTATTGGTCTTAACACAAAACAAAGATGCCATAAATAGTCGAGCAAACCTCAGAACATTCTTAATTTGAAGATGAATAAGCACATAGAAATCATTCCTATTAGTGGGGTTTCGTACTAAGATGTTTCAGATCATTAGTTATCTTTATATATTTTGTGTACGAATCTTTTCTCTTGAAGTTTGCCCACGCAACAATGAGATTCTGATTACGACATCTGAAATCCACCTCAGGTTTCTTCTGTAGGCTGATCTCAGAGATACTTGACAGGAAGTTGGAGTAGAGCAGTTACATAAGAAGCCCGACAATATCACTTCTGTTTGTGGTGTAGGACGCATGACGATAACTGTAACACATGGCATGGGTTACCTGCCAAGGACTCTTCTAAGTGTGTGTGTGTATCTTTCTATCTTTAATCTTTACAGCAATTCACCATAGAAGATGTGCTTCTTATCCTCATGTTGCAGATGCGAAAACTGAGGCATTTAAACTAACCGGTCATTCAGCCAGAAAGTGATAGAACTGAGAGGGTCCCTGTTTATAAGGAGGATGCTGGACTGCAATTTAATGGTGTCTTCCACTAGTAATTTAGAAGGTTAAAGCTGTAACAACAGGACAAATATGAAACAGAATTGTGCTTATAAGATTGTCACATTCTAGTGTGATAACTTTTGCAAACAAACAAGTAGATGAATGGTTTTTTTTCCGTCCTCTGTTGGAAAAAAAAATCTCATTTATTTCTAGAAAGTGTTTATGTTTTGACAAGATAGAATGGTCACTTTTCTCTACTAACTGTTAAACCAGGTCTTGCAGGCTATGTGGTTTTGAAAA